GCTTGCAGATGTGCCTCTAGGGTTGCCTTCTGAGGCGGCAGGTGGAGACGCGGACCAGCTTTGCCCCTTGTTCCTGAGGACAGGGCGAAGCCCTTTAGTGGTGGTGTAAGTAGCTACATAATTCACCAGTACCATTCCCAGAGACTGGTGAGAGGGAGGATATAGCTTCTTAATATTATTATTTTGAAATTATGACCTAAATCTATTGTTGAAGTGCACTAAGAGAAATAGCTTGTGGGTGAAAGCTTTGGTATTGACCACTGAAGTGGTCTACTGCTTTGTAATTTTTTTGTATTAATCAGTGTAGATGAATGTGGTCTCAGTGATACCCTGTAGCAGTAAACCTGCATTATATGGGAAAACTGTGGTTTAAACATGTTTTAAAATGGCTTTTTTGTAGTCTCTTTGCTAGCTCACGTTCTTCTTCCCAAAATCCCCCACGGCCAGTTCTTATCTCTGTCTCAGGAATGTCCTGAGAAGATATCAAGAAGTCTTCTCATTGGACCTTGTTAACCCCTTCCTTATTTGGCTGTTAACTCCCTACCTGATTGGTTTTTTCTAAGACCCCTTACCTTAAATGGTCCCCTTTGACCCTCCCAAGAGCTTTATAAACCCCTACCCCACAATAAACTCTCTCTCTCGCCTCCTCTCCAAGTCCCGTGTGCTGTCTGTGGCTGCCATGGGACCACGTGGGGGGGGGGGGGAGCAGCTCTCCCCTCCATTCGTCCAGGATCCGAAGAAACCCCTGGAGCTGGAGTAACCCCTTCCCTATCCACCTCAGCTGTCGGAAATGGTTCCTCAAATGGAAATGGAACTAGGACTGGTGCTGCCCCACATCATGGGAGGGGAGAGAGATCCAGAATACCCCATGCTGCTTTTGTAGATTATCTACAGTCCATTGTCATGTCTACTAAACTACAAGTCCCTGCTCTCTGGGCTGAATAATAAGGTACTTTTAACAGCAGCTGAAAGGAATAAAAAGAAGCAACCAAAACCAAAGCTTTCACTTTCTTGCGTCCTGATATTCGCTTGTCCTTTTACCATTCAGCAGGCCACAAAATGAATGACCAGGATTAAATTATTTGGCTGCCGGATTATCTCAGTGGCTGTTCTTAGCAGAATATCTGATGTAAGGAAAGCTGTAACTCCTCTTACTGCAAGACCCAGAAAGGATCACTCTGCAGGTAGGCACAGTGTGACACAGAATGAACGTTTATTAAACATCGACACCGGATTTTATAGAGAGAGCAGGGACTTTTCTGGAACAAAGGGTGGAGAGTGGGAGGAGTATTCCAGGAGTGGCATATCACAGCAACAAGGGGTGGAATGCCTGAACATGGACCAATGGCAAACTGTTTCTGGGTGGAACAGGTGAAGCAGGGTAGGACGAATAAGGAAAGGGCTTACATCGAACCAACAGAAAAAAGGGTAACGGGTACAGTGCAGGGAATAACACATTTTTATAATAAAATATATTATACTAATAATAAAACAATTGCACAACGGAGTAAAGGCACGGTGAAACAAACACTCTCGCGGCCCCGACAGTCACATTCAGCGCACCATGGTGTAAGTACATTCCAGTATTTTTCCTTCCTCTTCTGATTTCTTTTCACGAACTTCTCTCCAGCACTCATAGGTCTCCATTGGGGCACCTCCAACAAATATCCATGCAAACCATTGAGAGAGCAGCATATGAGCAGGTGAATCAGACTGCAGGGTCACTGTACCTCCGACTCTCACTGTGTTAGCTGCACCCTGGCATGAGAAAGACTCAAAAAGCAAGATAACCCGCTTAAATTTTTGGTAAATATTGAACTAGATGAAAGCTAATAGATGTGAACTTTCATTGTCTACAAAATCTGACCTAAAAGGAATAGGAATTCTGCAAATGACCAGCCTGAAACTTCTCATCATGCTTGCACCTGCTCATCCTTTGAGGTACCTTCTGTAAAATAAAGATATGATTCACTAACAGGAGATATGAAACATTGAAGTGGAGGAATTAAAATTGCAAAGCTACCACTGTGTCTTCCAACAGCTTAACCATCATTTCAATCTGGTCATTGTTAGGGTGCAGTTCCGTTGTTTCTTTCTTGCATAAGTTCTCTCATTAAATTGAAAGGTGGTTGGGAATGTAGACCTCTCCCCCCTGTATTTTTACCTGTGCAGTGCCTTGCACAATGAAATATTTATCTCCAAATGGAGATTCCAAGCCTTATTACTTCTTGAATAATACATGTACCTTTGAGTTATAACCTCCTAAAGACCTGTTTACAAGTCAATTTTTTGTTCTGTCTGTTCAGCATTGTGATTCCTGACTACAGCCACTGATAGTATTTTCTTACTTTACAGTTAAGGTTGTATTTTAAATAACCTCACCTTGTCTGTGTACATGTTATATGTTCTTTCTTCCCTTAGATAAAGTACACCACTTATTTACACCAAACTACTTATTTAAAAGAAATAACTTCTCTCCCTCAACTCCAGAAAAGCTGCCATTGGCAACTTAATATAATGAGCAAATTACTCCAGTGGATGAGACATCAATTTTAATGAAGAGGAAAAGAATCTGCTCTGATCACCAGGATTGTTTGGTGGGGAAAGCCACTAGATGAAAAAAGTGTAGACTCTCATGACAAGCATCTACAAAGGCAACATCTTCTATATTCCTCAGATCCATGCTCCACCTTTTATAAACCACTTTAGAACAGTGGACAGTGCTTCCACTCAGAGCACCTTAACATAAGAGAAAAGCATTCTATTAGAATTGTGCCATGGTCCGGGGGAGAGGGGAGTGGGACCATGACACTGCACAAAGAGACCGTGTCGAGGTTGAAGGCCGGGTGCAATGGCTGTTTGTTGAGGGTGTGCGAGGGTTTATATAACTTCTGGTGTAGAAAGGGCCAGCAAATGGGGTGGAGCATGAGACAGACAACCAGGAGAACGAATAGGAGTAAGGACTCGGGAGAAGAGGGAGGAACTGGGAAAGGAAAGGACCAATGGTAGCTCTCTCTACACTGCAGCTTTTTCAGCCAATCAGAGGGAGGAGTGGGGAAAGCAGGGAACAGACAACTCGAGGCAAGTCTGATCGTGCCCAGGCAGTACAACTGTAGGGGTAACATACAATGCACATATTTGAAACCACACAAGAACTGTAAAATCCATATAATAAAGTCCTTTTTCAATTGTTGTATATCTTTTTCCACACCTGGAACAGAACTGTGTCTTACTAATTTTTATAGAGCAGGGAAAGAACCGAGACAACATAACTTGCTTGCCTATGCACTCGTAAGTTTATCCTGAGTCTCCTACATAACTGAAGAGAAGAACATTTCTGAGGATTTTCAAAGTGGTACTTTACTAACACCTTAGCCCAGACACACTGTCAGTTCTGGAACCCTGTCTCTCAGGCTAAGGAGGCCTCACATCAGCTGCCCTCTGAAAGGCATTCACAAAAATAACTGAACTTAGTCAACAGACGTGATAGTGAGTCAAGTGAGTCAAGAGTATTTGTGCTTAGTCACCTTGGATTTTCAGGTATTTTTAGGTAAATCCCTCTTTGTATATTTAAGAGTAAGTGGCTTTGGGAACCTTACTAAGCAGTGGTGCTTCAGGGAACAGTCTAAACTAAAATCTTTTTCTACATAAAAAGAAAAAAGTTCCTCGGCCATTGTGTATTTGTCTTGGGGTTTCTAAGATGGTCTCTACCTTCCAAGGGAAAGTCTGACTAAAACACTTAATGGAAAAGCTGCCATTGCCTTCCTGGTTACATGGGCTTCACACATTGAATGTTTTTTAGACATTCAATGAAATTACATTTTAGTAATTCACTGAAACTCTTTCAGAGTCAAAACGTCTGATGGTCCAGAACAGTGGAAAAAGTGACAATGAAATGACACTTCACTTAAACTTGTTGATTAGGCTAAAAGCTTCCAAATGCTAAGAACTAAAGATAAGGCACTCTTCCTGGTAGTGGACAACTGGTTATAACAATTAGAACTGCCATTTGGGAGCCTTCTGAGTGATTAGTGGTTTCGTTACAGGTAATGTTGACAGCATGACAGCTCTCTGTGACAGTATAAGTACCTGTATACACCTCACACACTGTGCTTACCTGCTTCTGGCACCCAGAAGAAACTATCAATATATACAGCGACATACTAGAATGGACTTCACAAATTAACAAATTCAGTCTCTGCTATCAGCCAGCTATGTCACACAATCCCCTTCATAAACATATTAAAGAACACCTCCAAAAATATCAGGGGAGAGAGGGATTTTTACTCCCTTTATGTTTGCTAGAAGAACAGTGTAGACACTCAAACATCTGACATTTTGAAATTTCTGATTTCCTGCCTAAATATAATTAGGACTCAATTTGTTCTTCTGCTAAATTTTCCTTTTAGGTAAATGGTTGTTTTGTCTCTCTGATGTTTTTCAACCAATACATTCATATGCAGCAATTGCATTTCCTTTAAGCCTTTGCTTTGTTAAGTTAAACAAACCAAGTTATCTTACTCTTGTTTTCCCAGGATAAAAAGCCTTTTTTTCTGGCTTACATTATGGCATTCATTTATCCTTCTCAAACAGGAGTACCTGTATATAGTGAGAACAGTATTTATTATTGCACCTGAGTCTTACAGGATGGATCCATGTCCCCTCATCTCTACTCACGCAACTCAGCAAAGATTTTTTTTTCAGGGCTGCATCATATAGTTAGGTCTGTCTGATTTGAGTCTTCTCCACAACTGAATTTTGAACAGGTAATCTTCCAGCTGACAGCAAACACTCTTTCTATCTACCTAAATCAGGACTTTGCATTTTATATCACTAAATTGAAATGCATTTCTACAAGCGAGGTAGTTTAGCACTCCTCAGGCGTTTGCAAGTCCCTTTGGGAAATTCAGTCTTCTCCATCTTCAGGGCAACATTTTATCCCATAGTTCTTAGCAAAAATACAAAATAAAAGTGGTTACTACCACAACAGAGTAGATTCACTATTATTCCTTCTCCAGTACTATATTTCTGCTTTCAGCATAATCTCCTTTTAATTCTAAATGAGTTGCTTTAAGCCATTCAGCAATTAT